CGAATTTGCTTGTTTTTCTTAAAAATATTTTATAAAATTACTTACTTGTCACTATGTCATTGCAAAATACTCCTGTTATCTTATCAAAGGCCTCTAAGAGAAATCTTCATAAAAAGGATTTGCATGCTACAAAAAAAGCAAAAATTGAAAAGCTTGATAGTTCAATCATTAATGAGGTCAATTCTACATCCAATATTATAGTTAACCAAGCCGATAAAAGAGAGAATATTTTCTACAATCCTCTAAAAGTATGTTAATTGTCTTTTATTATATTTAGTTTTTTTTTTATAGTATAGTCTTCTTAGGAGCAGTCATTGTCTTTCAAGGCAGGCCCAGGATCCGTCTGTTCCCTCTCTATTCAGAGTTATATTTTTTCTTTATCTTGGCGTGATCGTCATCCTTGATGTGGGGTGTGTGTAAGAAGGAAGGTGATGCAGACTTCATGGGTTTTAAACCTCTCTAACTACACCACTGAAAGTGATTGGAATGTATCCACTAAGAAGATTTTATTACTATTCATGATAAAGTATTTTTTGTATATCAATTTATTAATTTTTTGAATATATATTCTCTAGCACAAGACTCAGAGCGAGACTCATCAATCTAAAAGCAAATCACGTGAATATATTCTATCTTACTGGAAATCTGAAGATTTCACAGCAAGCGATCTTAAGTCAATAAATAATTCACAATCTATTTTTTTAATGGATCCAAAGATCACCTTTTTTGAAAAATTTATGGAGAGAAGACGGCAACGACAAGTTATTAAAACATTACTAGAGTGAGGATTGCTTCCATTAGATGCGGTAAAGCAAAACATCTTTTCCCTTAAATATGATGCTCTTTCTAATTTTAATCTTGAAAATATTTGGAATGAACTATACAATTATGATATCAGTATTCACTCAAAAAAATCACTACCACCTCAAACTACTCAAATTATTCATCCCATTTTAACTACCTTTCAAATACCTGTTAAATTTATTAATTTACTAGAATCAGAAATTTTTAATCATGCCAAATCTATAAATAAAAATTCTAGTTTAGAATGGAAGCAATTTGCTTTGTGGGCAATTTTTGCAATTAATCCTTCTATTGATAAGCAGATACGCAATCACTGTCAGTGCCTTTGGTCTAAAGTAAAGCATTTATATCAGCAGTATATAAAAGCAGAAAAATTTTCACTAGAGCAATCAATAATCTCTAAGGCACTTTGTCAAAATTTAAAAGAAAAACAAATTATTGCTAGTAAATTGACTAATAAAATGTCAGAAGATATCAATATAAAGGGGTATCACCATGTATTCAACCCACAATGCTTTAAGAATGCTCTTGAAGAAACAATAGTAGATCTATACACTTTTAAGAGTTCTGAGATTACAAAAAATGCAAAGAAAGTAGTAGAACAATACTATGTTCACATGCTTAATAATCCATCTCACCAATCCAAAGAATTTTCAAAAGAATTAGTTGAACATTTTGGTGCTTTTACAGGCAATAACAATGAACCTTATACAACATCAAATACTGCCTCATCTCACAACAGAGATCATTTAAAATGTGTTCAAGAATTAATACAAGGCCTTCAACCATTATCTGATGCTATTAATGGTTATGTTAGAGATATATATCCAACCTTGTATGCAAAGATGAGAAAACTTGATCTTGGACCAAATGTTCTTAAACCATTTGGTGTTTTTCCTACTATAGTAGTTAATTTTAATATTATCTACCAATTCCATAGAGACTTAAAGGACCACCCTAATTCACTTTGTATTGTCTGCCCACTTGGAGTATTTGAGGGTGGGCAATTGGTATTTCCTGAGTTAAAGCTAATAATTCATGTAAAACAGGAACAAGTCATAGCTTTTAGATCAAATATTTTAGTTCATGATAATCTTCCAGTTATTTTTGGTATTCGTCATAGTATTGTTTTCTTTATACATGCAACATCAATCATGCAAAATAGAAAATTTGGCACTCTATTTAGTGATTTAGATTCAGATATTATTACAGGTATAAGCATGAATATTAAAAATAAAAAAGCCAAAGTATTAAAAAATTATGCCATGCAAGATAAGAAGCTTTCCAAATCTTTAAAGTTGAATTCACAGTCTTTAAAAATGGAATCCACCAGGGTGACCACGAAAATTACGGGTCACGTGACACTATCAATCATCTCCGACCCGCTGACCCATTACAATAATGATCAAAATTGTGAATCATGTAAATCAATAATTAATTTTACTTAATTTATGAAACCTTGGTAATAAATAAAACCTTTACTATACGAACATATTATTTATTGTAATTATTGATATATCATTAAAGAAAATTTTTAAAGATTCATAACAGTAACAAATTTTTTGATTCAAATTTATTATAGTGAATCTCTAAAAGCTGATATACATATGTCAAATCCACTAATATGAATTTTCAAATTATTTATAACTATATACTAGAACCATATTTTAGTTATTTCTTCAATACCGGACAAGACAAAATAGTTGTCAATTAGAAATTATGAACTTGTTCGTTATCTAAATATATTTATAAATTTTTCCTGACCTGAACACGTTATTTTGAATTATCCAATAATAGTCAAAGTTAATATGAATTGAATCCTATACCATTCGTACAAAAAATCTATAGTTAAATTAGTAGTTTTTTTTTTGTATTGTGTATTTAAAAGTTAATGATCATAAATAAATTAAATGTACCAACTGATGTGTTATTAAAAAGTAATAAATTGGAATATCTTTATTTTAAGCTATAACGATTCTTTGAAAACTCTAATTTCCTAATATGCTGCTCAGAAACATGTAAATTTTGTGATTCGCTGTGATCAAAGTAAATAACAGCAAATCACAAAAAACATCGATTGCAAAATGTAGTATTAATAGCTATATCGATAATAGTATGGTCAAATTAATAAAATTATTGTAATATTTTGTTTAGTGATGTAAAAATATAATAAAATTTTATATTTTAATAGCTTTAGTTCAAAAAAATTTTACATTACTCGAAAAAAAAAATTTAGTGCAACTCATTTTTTAAAAAATTGTCTAAGTTTTTTTGTTTTTACGAGATAAAATTTTAGATACTATGTTATTAAATCGGTACTTTAATTTTAATCAACAGTTAATCACAGATTTCGCATATCCCTAATGCTGCTGCACTATGATAAATTTTAATGCTCATTGATAATCCTTAAATTGCTACGTAGTATAATTTAATAACTTTAATACAGAAAAATGCAGACAATTGAGACAATATATACTGGATTCAAGTTAATTAGCAGAATCTGAAAACTATGCAATGAAAATTAACCGATTAATAAGTACTATTTGGATATATCAAACTCGTTACAGATTGATATTATGCAAATATACGCGCCTTTTTAGATGTTTTTTCAACAAATATGTGTAATTCTATTCGACTAAATAATAAGTTAACTTTACCATAGTAATTAATTAATATGGATTTCGTCATAAGATACAAATACAGGAAGTATGTTCTAACCAAAGAAAGAAATATAAACAAAAACTTACAGAGAACATACAAAACGTCAAGGGTAAGTTGTTATTATAAATCTCGCGTTTCATATAGTTGAAAGGGAAAAAAGGAAATAGTGTAGTGTTAGAAAAAATGAAATACTAAAAATATAAACTTATGCAATTGTTTAAAGCCTTACGCGTTATAAAATTAAAAGTTCGTATTTTGCATGTAATAGAAAATCACAGTTGTCGCAAAGAATATCGCATTTTATCTGATGAAAAGGAGTATTGTAGTGTTAGATAATATCGAATTAGGAAAAGAGAATAAAAATTTTTTCTAAAAAAATGTAAATAAAAATTTAGTTTGTAACCTGAACAATTTGTAATTAAGTCTTATAAATAAAGTCATTTTTACCTTTCGCTAAAGTTAATTTTCATATAAACATTTTGAGCTGGTCTCGAAGTATTAATCAAATCATTCTATCTAATCCAAATTATTCACATTGTCAGTTCTAAATCTTCTAGTGATTTTTTCTATATTACATTTATAAAATTTCTCTTAGTACTGCTTTCACGACTTTTTACTATAGTGCTTCTTGATAGTCGAACCTATAAAGATTTAAAATATTTTAGACCTATTATCACAATATATTGTAAAATTTTAAATGGATTCCTTGGATTTCTGCACTAATTGTAAAACCAATCATACTAAGGACCAATTTGTGTGGGAAGGCAAACGCCATAAAACATGCAAAAGATACAAAGAGAACCGGAAATGAAAAAACAAAGATAAAATAGCAAATTCATTAGATGATCATGAATTAAGTCATCAAGACAACTTTGAAGTACTTCCTGAAGATAGTTCAGCTCATAATATAGCAACTGACGAAAACTCTGAGCCAGAACATGGGAATTATATTGAAGTTGATTACCTCGATTTGGGGGATTTAATTGAGCATGAAATCCAAGAATTGACAACTGAAGCTCAAATTGACGGGGTAGCTGATGTTGCTTATCAGACTCATTTAGTAGTAAACTTAGACAATGCTGTGATTCAAGACAAGACGGCCAAGGAAATAGCTAACCTAATAATTACTGAAATTGAAGGTAGCGATGATTATTCATGGAAATAAGTACTATCATATTAAAAAAATATTTTTTTTTAATCATGTTACTAACCAGACATTTATTATTTAGCTTTCACAATGCAGAAATGTCGAAAAAATTTGGTGATACGGTTGGACAGTTTTATTATTTTTGTTGTCAGTCGATAGAAGCAAAAAGTGAAAATTATAAAGATTCTAATAGAAAATGGTGGATACGCTATGATTGTAAAGGAAAAATTATTATCTAAGTTGATTTAGTCATTAATGCAATAGAAGTTAATATCTTTCATGGTTCTCTTCATCCACGCTCGGATCTTTGCATTGAGTTGCCTGATGAATTACAAGAAGAGATTAAAGCACACTCACATCTTACTGCGATAGAATTGAAAAATCATTTGTGACGTCAAGGTTTCGACATTTCCAAATACTCACCAAAGCGTATCTATTATTAGAAATCCATAGCAAGTCAAAAATTATTCCAACGCTATGATAACCATATAGAATCTGCATGTAAACTACTAAGTGAGTATGAATGTCATAGCTTCCAGCATTGCTTAGAAATAAAAGATTCAGATGCTACTGCCATTGGATTTATTATGCCCTTGCTAGAAAAAATTAAAAATTTCAATATTAGCATCAATGAGATCTATTTTGATGCAACTTACAAAACAGCAAGAGGGCGCTATGAACTCTATGGTACTATAGCTGATGTAGAAGGTACCGGCTTCCCAATTGCATATTTAATCCTTGATACAACAAAAGTATCTAATACAAGTACTAGCACAGGAAAGCGTCGTAAAATTATAGAGTTGTTCTTAGCAACTATAAAGACACGTAATATAAATCCGGATTTTGTGTTTACTGATAAGGATTTCGCTGAAATTAATGCTGCAACTAATGTGTGGGGGCATTCAGTAGTCCAACTATGTGCTTGGCACATGAATCAAGCATTAAAGCTTAAGCTTAAAGAAAAAGCTAAGCTATCAAATAAAATGAAGTGTGAAACACAACTACATATAACCTATGATATTAACCAAGCTATGAATGAATTTGACTTTATTAATCCGGCATTTTATCCCACAGAGGATGATTGTGATCCAAAAAAATATATCGTTTGCCTATCAACATGTCAATCAATAGTTTTGGTGCTTATGCAAAAGCATTTTGATATGCACCCTCTGATACCTGTAGATGCTCAAGGAAACACCTTAACATCGACAAATATCAGGCAAAATGCTGTAAAAGAAATGTATCAATTTTGCACTGAAAACTCATTAAGACTACTATGGGCATATCTTTAGAGTAACTGGTATTCGCCGGATCGATGGCACTTGTGGTCATGATCAGTTAAACATACTATACCATTCAGAAAAACAACAATAAAAATCGAAGCCCATTGGAATATCATTAAAAGATGTTATTTACATCGATTTAATCGTCCTAGACTTGATTTATTGCTGTGGACACTTATTAATGAGATAATACCAGCACAAAAGGAGTAACTTTGGCAGATTGTAACTGGTGTTATAACACCATGGTGGTGGGATGATTTTAAAAAAGCATGGAATACAGCTGACACAAAAGACCAAAATATAAATATTAATGTTAAGGGTAAAAGAAAGCGAAGCATTAATAAAAAAACAACTGACTCAAAAAGTTCATATTTCACAGATATTAATTGTTGGGTTTGTAGCTGTCCAGCTTTTCTTGGAAGTCGCTTCCTTTTGTGTAAACATCTTGTTCAGCAGATTTTTAATATGCCCAATGGCCAGAGATGACGATTAATACGAGATAATTTTATACGTCGCACTACTCCTCCATTTCTCGTTCTAAAAGATTATGAAAGTGATAGAGTTACACCTGATACCTCATCTATTGTACCTTTTGAAATGGAAACTAATATCAATAACATGTCTTATAGTATTGATATTGATGAAGATCTGGAAGAAGAAGCCCGTTTCTACGTTGAGTCAAATTAGGCATTGTTTGAACAAGCAGTCAACCGAATCAACACCGAAAAATCTGCTAATAATTGGAAACATGTTCATGCAATAATGGAGCATAGTCGATTAGTGCAAATAGAAAAGGAGATGCAAGCAGCAGAAAGACAAAGACATCAACGAGCAACTTGGACATCAGCTACTACCAGAAAACCATACCTAATGTATTTGTCGTATCCAGACGAAATAGATAATTCTAAAAATAATGACAATTAAACACCAGTTAAAGTATTACAGACTAGAGTTGGATTCGAATTTGAAAATTCTACATTTTATATATAAATTCGAATTTAAAATTAGACTTTGAATTTTTCAAATTCGAATCCAACCTCTATTCCAGACACCATAATTACCGAATGCGTAAAGAAACCAGTTGAATTATAAATTATTACTTTCCTACTATCGATAATCAACTTTTTTTTAAACGAATGTTTACTATACTTATCTGCAAAAATTATTAATGAAAAAAAAGTTAATTACATTGTAATTTAACCAACTTACCTTTATTTAAAGATCTATTCTCCATTCAGTTAATGTTAAACCTTAAATAAATAAAATTACTAGCGAATTTGTTAATATTTGTAATAAATAAATTATTATTGCACTTTTAAAATTACTGTAACTTCCATCATACCGGAAATCCAAAAATGTTACCTGAATAGATCTAAATAACTTGTCAAGAAATAAAAATTCCAAAGATTCCTAGTTATATTTTAATTCTACGGTATTATCTCTACTAGTACATTAGTACTGGTTGTTTCATTTTGCAAATAATATCATGATTCCTGCTAACAAAAACAAAGAAAAAAAGAAACAAGGAATCTTTATATTATTTTTCAAAACTAACTACTAGTGCTAGTGTACTAGTAGAGATAATACTGTAGAATTGAAATATAACCGGGAATTTTTGAAATTTCTATTTCTTGACAAGTTATTTAGATTTATTCATAAAAAAGCATTAAAAATTTTTGGATTTCTGGTGCGATCGGAGGTTACAGTAATTTAAAAACGTAATAATTGCAATGTTTAATTGAAAACTTTAAATTTTTTTTAAGATAACGATAATTTTTGTAACACTAAATGTAAATTATAATTAGTTGATGATCATCATTAGATATGACCTAATGGGTCAGCAGGTTGGAGATGATCAACAGTGTCACGTGACCCGTAATTTTCGTGGTCACCCTGGTGAATTCTTAAAAATGAACAATTCAAGACGAAGCTGTCTTGGTAAGTGTAATTGCTATGTTAAAAATTCTATGTAGTCATTCTTTAAACTCAATATTTATGTTTGCTTCTACTTATTTAAGATCTTGAGCCTGCAAGAAGAGGTTTACCAGTGAAATACAAAAATAATTAGCATTAGATTATATTTAGTTTGCTTTTTTGTATATTTTGAGTACTCAAAAAAAAAATGAATATCACAATTCATTAGTATATAGTTAATAAAATCCAATAGGTCTATAAGACTCATATAATCACTAAACAAACTATAAGTCTATTAAATTATCAAATATGTTAGGTAATAGTGAATTTGATATTAAATTTTGAGCAATGAACAATTAGGTATGTAGTGATCTACAAATTGATCAAAAAGTACATCAATTTGCAAACTGCGATAATTCAATGATATATTATATTTAAATTTATACAAATATTTTCGATATTTTTAGAAATATTTAATTATAGAGAATTGCTATTTGTACATTAGTGTTTGTACACTATGTTACATGATATTATTAGAAAAGCTAATCAAAATTTAAGATCAGATGTAACATGTAAATCTTTCTTTGTGTAACAAAAAACAAAGAATTTTTTTAAAAAATGCCAATATCTCGAAACTTCGTTTATGAAATCATCTTTGAGGTATTAATAAAAAAAATTCCTTGCTAAATATTGCATATAACTATTATTTTGCTAAAGTCTTAGGCCTCGTCCTAATCCTAAAGTTAAAAAAGATTACTTTTTTTTTAATAAAAAAATTTTTTTTTGTTTATACCCGTGTATAAACACGTGTATAAATTTAGAAATTTTCTTAATTATATTTAAATTTTAGTGAAATAAATTTTTTAAAAATTTAATCAAAAAGAAATAAAAAATATTAAATATAATAATTAAATATATAGGATAACTAATAATTTATAATATTCTATCTTATTCGAAATATTTTGAAATATCATGATATTAAGAAATTTTAAGGGAGAAATTTAATATTAAAAATTATGTTAAATTTAAGATATTAGCAAACATTCAAATAATTTAAATTTATAAAATTATTTATTATAATATAATTAAATATTAATTATGCGAATATATTAGAAATATTTAAATTTTTGACAAATATTAAAATTTATTGAAAATTAATTAAA